TGGGGTAGGGAAGGAATTTGCTGATGATTTTCAAATACTAAAAGGGTTGTTATAAAGAGGCTGGTGACTGATTGACTCATTTTGTGTCCACAGGCAGGAAAAGAAGTAAAGGTTTGAAATTGCAGCATGTTGGATAGTAGGAATAACTTCCGAACTCTGAGAATGGTTAAGTGTCAGATTCCATTACCTAGAGAGGCGGGAATTCCATCATTTGGAGTTTCTAAGTTTAAGCTGCATAAACACTTGGCTGGGATAGTTTGTTTACCTAGGGATGGTCCCGCCTCTAGCAGTGGGGTTGACTAGAGCAGTGGGGGCCAACCTTTTGGGCAGGCATGCCCTGAATTAGCTCCACACCCTCCCCAGTTGCTATTCCAATCTTCTTCCTCTGCAGTCCTACTTTGCACTTGTCTGCTCTGCCTTCTGCTTCACTTCCTGCCTTTTCTGCTTCTGTCTTGTCCCTGATCTAGCATGCCTGTGTGCATATGTGTTGCAGGTTGGTCACCCCGGATGAGATCCATGGTTTTTCAAACTGTTTTTTGTCTATGTACTCCTTTCCTGCAAAATACTGCTGCTTGTGCAGCAGCCCACTAGACGTATTTCTCCATGTGCACCCAGGTCAATGCATGGGAGTGCTGCTACACACTGTGTTGACCAGAAGCCAAATTGAAGCATGCACTCCTTGCCAAAGGGCCATGTACCTCTGGTGTGTGTGTACCACTGAACTAAACCCCCCACCCCGTCCGCCCTACAAATGTGGTTCTGTAGGGACAACACCGTAGAGTCTAGAGAAGGACAAAGGGCTGGAATTAACAAAGGACTGAAGCACCTCAGTGTCGGATGCCTGAGCCCTTCAGAGGAGGGCTGAAATCAAGGAGGCAGGTGGCTTGATTTTTGCAGGTTGATTGTGGCGCCTGCTGCCATTCTTTTTGCAGTGAAGGCGCTTCCCCCATGCCACTGATTGGCTGAGCGGCTCCAGCGGTGGCCCCTCTCCTCACCACTGATTGGTTGAGAGGGCTGCCATTCACATTGTTCCACTCCTCATTGCTAACTGGCGGAGGTGTCCTCTTGGCCAATCAGTGGTGGAGGGAGGAGGGGGCTGCTGCCAGCTTGTCTCCCTTTTTGTGTGCCAGTGGCTGTGAGAGCTGCTGGCTCCCACTGGGAGCATTTCATTTTCATAGATTTCATAGACATTAGGGCTGGAACGAACCTCGGAAGATGGAGTCCAGCCCCCCACCCGAAGGGCAGGAAGTCAGCTGGGGTCATAGGATCCCAGCAAGATAAGCATCCAATTTACTCTTGAAGGTGTTCAATGTAGGTGCTTGAACCACCTCTGATGGCAGGCTATTTCAGACCTTGGGGGCTCAGACAGTAAAGAAACTCTTCCTTATGTCCAGCCTGAAACGGTCTCGCAGGAGTTTATAACTGTTTGACCTCATCATCCCTTGGGGCGCTCTGGTGAATAAATTTTCCCCCAGATACTGGTGGTCACCCCTGATAAACTTGTAGATGGCCATCAGATCACCCCTGAGCCTGCGCTTTTCCAGGCTGTGAAGAGCCCCATGGCTCTCAGCCTGTCGTCTTAAGGTCTGTTTTCCTGACCTCTGCTCATGCACGTGGCTCTTCTCTGGACTCTCTCAAGCTTCTCCACATCCTTTTTGAATTGTGGACCCCAAAACTGGACGCAGTACTCCAGCTGCGGCCTCACCAAGGCTGAGTACAAGGGGAGAATGACATCCCGGGATTTGCTTGAGAAGCATCTATGGATACAAGCCAGCGTTTTGGTCGCTTTACTTGCCGCAGCATCGCATTGCAGGCTCATGTTCATCTTGTGGTCAATGATGACCCCCAAGTCTCTTTCTTCCATGGTGCTAGCCAGCATAGCACTGCTGAGCCTATAAGGGTGCTACAGGTTTTGTCTCCCAAGGTGGAGAACCTTGCATTCTCAGTGTTAAACACCATCAGGTTCTCGTCTGCCCATTTGCTGAGCCTGTCCAGGTCAGCCTGGATCACCCTCCTGTCTTCTAGTGTGAATGCTTTGTCCCAAAGTTTGGTGTCATTGGCGAACTTGGCCAGTCCACTTCTGACTCCAATGTCCACATCATTAATGAAGATGTTGAACAATATGGGTCCAAGGACAGAGCCTTAGGAGACCCCATTGGTCACAGGGTACCATGACTATCGACTTCCATCAATTACCACCCTCTGGGTACGACCATGGAGCCAATTTCCCAGCCAGTGGATCGTGGTGGACCCAAGGCCACAACTGGCGAGCTTCACCAAGAGGTGATCATGGGATACCAGATGGAAGGCTTTTTTGAAGTCAAGATATATGACATTAATCTCTTTTCCCTTGTCCAGGTGATAGGTCACCTGGTCATAGAAGGAAATGAAATTGGTCAAGCAGGGTCTACCTGCTGGCTATCCCTCAGGATGTTGGCTATCCCTCAGGATTTTCAGTAAGTTGTTTTTTCCCCCCTGCCCAGTGATTCTGCCAAAAATTGTGGGGAGCGCTTCTTTTTGTGGAAACGGCCTCAAATCAATCATGGTCTCCGTTAAAAATGAAAAATTTGCCATTTGATTAGGTCCCTGGTCATCCAGCCCCAGCTCCAGTTAGGCCCCATGTGCGCACATGTGCCTGCCCCACAGCCCTGAGCTTGGTGTACAGCAGTGATTCCCAACCAGGGTGCTGCAGCACCTTGTGGTGCCTTGAGAGCAGGCTGTGGGGTGCCAGGCAGTGTCAGCACTGCTGGGCATGCAGACCTGGTGCACATGATAAACCTGGAGATTTTGCCCAGCTGGGGCATCTCTGCTGGGATTTTGCAGCAGGAAAGTGGCTCTAGCATTTTTCTGTAGTCCATGAAGCAGTGGGGGGCAGTGAAGAGCTGGCGTTTTCCCAGTGGGTCTCAGCTCTAACACAAGAACTGCCATGTGCTGGCTCAGCCCTGAGGCCAATGTGACCTGTCTCCTGTGTCTCACAGGTGAAAAATTAGTTAGTTTTAAACTTACTGTCTGCTTGTTTCCTGCTGGGCCCCTCCTTCCTCTGAAGGGAGACAGAGTTGACAGCAAGTCCCTCTTAGCTGCTTCCTATTTGTCTCCTGTCCCTCCTCAAGCTTTTCTTTTCTAAATGGAGTAGGCCTCTGCCTGCCCCCCACGCTATCTAGCCCTCTGTCTGTCATGGCCTCAGCCCCTCTGTGTCATTCCTCCCCCTTGCTGCCCTTGTCTGTCCCTCAGTGTTGCCAGGTGTATGATAATTATCATATTTGTACAATAATTTCAACCTTGTAGGGTGTATGATCAATAATAGTAAAAGTGTTCAAAATGTACACTCAGTTTTCAGGCAGTTAATTGCTGTAGCATATGGAAAACCTAAATCACACTCAGTGGGTGTGTTCAGATGTGCATGGATGTTTGGCTCCCTGGGGACAAGCAGCGGTGGTGCACCTTGCACTGTGCTGGCCCCAACAGCCTTATCTGGGGTCTGGGGTCCTCCCCGAGCTGCAGCTGTGGTGATGCTGGCAGCAGAGCACGGCTCTGGGCAAGCCAGCTCCGCTTTTCAGCAGTGCATGCTGGCTGAATGTGTGTTGCTTGTTTTTTTTGTTTTTTTCCGTGGGTTTGTGGTGGTGTTTTTTTTTTGACCTCTGGATGTCCAGGGGTCAAAAAAATCTGCAGAAAAAAAAATGGTGCAGCACATGCTTGGGAAGTGCTCCCTTATAGCACAGACAACACCGGCCTGTGTGTTATGTGGCACTGCAAATGTGTCTGCAGTGCTACATACTGCATGGCTGTGCTGGTCTGGACACACCCTCTGAGTCTCACCCAACTTTTTTTTTTTTTAATTAATAATATATTTTGTGTTCCAGGTCAAATCAGACAAATCAGTTCCAAATCATTGACTGAGCACAACTCAATCGTTTCAAAAACCATTATCAATTGAAAAGGCACAGCTCAATCCTTCTAAATGTCTTCTCTGGCATGAGCATCCTCCATCCCAGCCTCTCGTCCTACGATTTCAGATGCTTGCAAATCCATGGGCAGGCATCTGACGTGCAGGCCCAAGCCCGAGGTCTTGGGATTCGGGTGTCCCCACCTGAACACGTCTACACTTGATCTGAGCCAAAAAGCAGAGAAACTTGTAGTTTTGCTGTCGGTACTTTTTATGAGAGCTTGCCTCAAAATAAAGAAATGCTTCAAGACTCGGATGTTTCGGGGATGTATTTGGCAGCTGTGTTGGCCTGAGACAAAAAGAAATGCAAAACTTTAGGACTCTTGGTTCAGAGATGATACCTCTTATTAGACCAACTAAGAAATCGCAAACAAGAAAAAAAAAAAATCTTCTTCTGCAAGCTGTTGGTCGCAAATGCCCTTCCTCAGGCCAGTCCAGAAAGACTTCCACCTTCAGCTTCCTCTGTGCAAAGAAGTTTATTTTCTACCTATGGGTACTTTTTTCTCCCTTTAATTTTCCCTGAGCTTGAAGAAGGGTGTGTGAGCCTGAAAGCTTGCAGAAAAAAAAGATGATTTTTTTTTTTTTTTTTTTTTTTTGCGATTTCTTAGTTGGTCTAATAAGAGGTATCATCTCTGAACCATCAGTCCTACAGTTTTGCATTTCTTTTCGTGTCAGGCCCACAGGCCGCCACCTCCGTCCCTGAACCATCGGAGGCCTGGAGGCTTGCATTTCTTCCGGACTCGCGGCGAGTGACAGCGAGCACTATAAAGTCAAGAAGACATATTTGCATATATTTCTGAGTGTACGATAGTTTTTCAGCAGATACGATCATCTTGGGCTTCCAGTACAATTTCACGACTGAGACCTGGGAGAGCGGCTCTTGGCCGGGTCCCCGCCGCTCCCGCCTTGCTCCACCCAGACTGACAGACGGACTCGGGGCGGGGTCACGTGAGCGCGGCCGGTCGGGCGGGGAGCGCACAGGCAAGATGGCCGTCGCCGCCCGGCGGGGGTGAGGAGCGCATCGAGTCGCCGCCGCCGCCGCCGCCGCCCTGGTCACAGCGCCCAGCCACCCGCGGGTGAGTCCTGCCGCTTCCGGGCAGCAAACAAAGGAAGAAACCGTGTGGAGCTCGGAGGCGGAGGGAGAGGGACGCGGGCGGCCTCTTGCCCTGGCGGGGCCGAGCCGGCGGGCATTGTTCGCTCCCGGACTGATGGAGACCGCGATTTCGCTGCTGATCTCCTAGTGGGGTGGAGGGAGGGCAGCCCAGCCTCGGGGCAGACTGCCCAGGCCGAGGGTAGCAGATATCAGTAAGAAAAACCCTTCTCTTGCACCACAGCAACCTCCCCCCAGCCCTGTTGTCATAGGGCGTGTTAATGCACAGCTTAAAACAGCTGCGTGTTTTGCTGTGTTAAGTATATGTTTACCTCATGGGTGTCTTGTGTTAAGGTCCATTTCTAGCTCATAGCCTTTGTAGGTATAATGGGAATGGAGTTGTTTTCCTTTATTTTGTTGCCTATGAGAGAGGACTCTGTCGGCTTGCAAGTGCTTTTAATATTAAAATGAAATGGGGCCACGGTGTTTCCCTGCGGTCCTTGAGCCTGCATTTTCAGTTTTGCAAGCACACTCACCTGCCTCTTAATTTGTTTTTGTCCTTTGTGTGAGAGAGCTGTGTGAAAGGGAAAACTGATAGCCTCTTTTTATAAGGAGTTTTAACACAAGACACAGGTCAAGAAGCAGTGAAAGAAAAGAGGTAACAGGCTCCCATCTAAGAAGATCCCGTTGAAAATCATTAGGGCTCCAGAGAGACGTAGAGGTCTCCCTGTTCAGATCAGAGGGCAAGAAAAAGTCTTGGTGGGCATTTGTACACATGGTTGTGCTGCACGCTTTTAAATGCCCCCAATGCTGTGCACATACATTTGTATAAATGGCAAAATGTGCCCAGCACTGAGAAAATGGTGGCGGCGCGCTTTTAACTAAAACGCATCGAAGGTATTTTAAGTTCAGAAGTGTACCACTGCCATTTTCTCCACACTGACACACATTTCACCATTTATACAAATGCACATGACTCGGCACCGGGCACGTCAGCTCGTGTGCGGAGCAGACTCAGTTGAGTCAGACACTGATTTCAGACAAATGTATGCGTATAAATGCCCAATGTGATTATTTTTACTGGTGAGTTAGACCACATGGTTCTCATAAGCCTTTGTATCTATAGCATTCAACTTTAGTATTGCATACTATTTTATTTTGTTTGATTACCTTCAGTAAGAGTGTGTGGTGTCAGAGTAGCTAAGACATTGCATGTTGTGTCATAGTAGTTTGGGGTCAGCAGGGACCTGAATAGGTCATCTAGTCTAACCCCCCTGTCACTGGCCAGAGCACACGCTGGGATCACGTGATCCCAGACAGGTGTTCATCCAACCTCTTTGAATTTACCCAAGGTAGGAGCAAGGACCACTTCCCTAGGAGGTTGGTCCCAGATCCTAGCTACCCTAACAGTGAAATAGTGCCTCCTAATCTCTAACCTGAACCTGTTCTCCAGCAGTTTCTGGCCATTGTTCCTTGTCACCCCAGGTGCTGCTGGGGGGAATAGGACCTTTCCTATTTGCTGCTGATCTCCCCTGATGAGTTTGTAGGCAGCCACCAAATCCCCCCTCAGCTTCTGCTTGTTGAGGTTGAACAGGTTCAGCTCCCTCAGCCTCTCCTCATAGGGCCTGCTCTGTTACCCTCCAACCAAGTGGG